AGATATAGGTGAAGGGGAGGAAGGCAGCAAATCACACTGCCATGTCTGTACCTATGCAACAATCTTGCATGTTCTTCACATGTACCCCATAACATAAAATGCAGTAAAAAATAAAATAAAATTTGAAAAAAAAGACAGTCTAAAGGTGAAGTGTTCAGCACCATTGTTCTAGAAATGCAAAATGACACAGAGCCTACTACCCACGTGTTTCTAAAAATGAAGAAGTGATGATTAATTGTAAACCACAGGAAACGAAATGAACATGGATGAACATTTTACAACTTATACAAAAATTCACTCAGACTTTAAGCTTACTCTAGCCTTTACTGTAACCCTAATCCTAAACCTCACTAACCCTTTCACCCTAACCCTTCACTGTAATCCTGACCTCTCAACCTACCCGTTACTCACCTGATCTCTCCCCCTAATCTCTACCATGCAACTCCCAACCACCAACCTGAACCTCCTATCTGAAAGCTCTTATGCTACAATCTTTAATTGGTTAACTCTGAACCCTTCAACCCTTATCTCCTGATTTTGTAATATGCTGACACACTAAATACTAACTGCAGTCTATGCACAACCTCATCCTGATCTCTCCTACTCAGTGCCAAGCCACTTCGAGGACTGATCTGTAACCTCAGAAATGTAGACTTAATAATCCTCAACAAACTAATGGCAAATTTAAACCAACAGCATTGGGAAAGGGTCAAACACCACGAACGTGAGTTTTTATCCCAGTAAATCAATACCATTCACGTAACACACAGTGTTGTTAGAATGAATGAAAAACACCCCATAATTCTCTCAGCTGTTATAGAAAGGGCTTTCAACAAAGCTGGGATTACAGACACATGCCACCATGCACAGCTAATTTTGTCTTTTTAATAGAGACAGGTTTTCAGCATGTTGGCCAGGCTAGTCTTGAGCTCCTGACCTCAGGTGATCCACCTGCCTTGGCCTTCCAAAGTGCTGGGATTACAGGCGTGAGCCACTGTGCCTGGCCAAAAAATACATTTTATATGTATACACTAGCAATGAATAATCTGAAAACAACATTATAAAAATTCACTTTAAGTGCTGGGTGCAGTGACCCATGCCTGTAATGCCAGCATTTTGGGAGGCCGAGGCAGGTGGATCACGAGGTCAAGAGATCGAGACCATCCTGGCCAACACGGTGAAAATCCGTCTCTACTAAAAATATAAAAATTAGCCACGTGTGGTAGCACACGTCTGTGGTGCCAGCTACTCAGGAGGCTGAGGCAGAAGAATCGCTTGAACCCAGGAGGCAGAGGTTGCAGTGAGCTGAGATTGCACCACTGCACTTCAGCCTGGTGACAAAGCAAGACTCCATCTCAAAAACAAACAAACAAACAAACAAAATATATATATATAATTCCACTTTAAATAATACCAATAGCAGTAATATGGTTAGAAATAAATGTAATCAAAGGGTAAAACTTAGAAGGGGGAAATTATAAGACATTGCTTAATGAAATCAAAGCCCAAATAAATGTAAAAACATGTCACATTCATGGATTTGAAGACCATATTTGTTAAGTTTGCGAAACTACACAAAGCAATCTACAGATTTAATGTTATTCCTACTAAAATCCCAAAGGCCTTGGGACAGAAATGGGAAAGCTGATCCTAATGTTTATATGGAATTTCAAGGAACCCTGAAAAGCCAAACCAATCCTGAAAAATAACTCCAAATCTGGAGGTTCGTACATCCCAATTTCAATTCTTATTACAAAGCAATAGTAATCAAAACAGCGTGATACTGGTACAAGAATAAACAGAAAGATCAACTGAATTGGGAGTCCAGACATAAAACAATACCTCCATGCTCAACTGATTTTAGACAAGATCCATAACCATTAAATTGGGGGGGAAATGCTGTGCTCAACAAGTGATGTAAGGCAACGTGCTATCCACATAGAGGGAAATGAAATTGTAGCCTTACCTATTACCACATAGAAGAAATTAACTTAAAATGGATCAAAGACCTAAATATGGCAAAACTAAAAACTCTATAAGAAAGCATACAGTTTGTCCTTCAAGACCTTGGATGTTGCAGTAGTTTCTTAGATCTGACACTGAAACCACAAAAGGAAAAATAAATCAATTGATTTCCTCAAAATTCAAAACTTTTATGCCTCAGAAAACATGGGGGAAAAAAAAAGGTTGAACGACGAAATTGTTGTAATAGAAAAAACAACTGTCTTCTATTTCTCAACACTCAACACAGGACACTTTTGTTAACAGATGCATTGGTTTTTTTCCCGACACAGACCAAATCTTGGGTACCAGCTGGATGTCAATCCAGTTCTGCCATTAACTAGAGAAAGCATCAGACCCCGCAGGCTAAGGGCTCAGTCATAGGAACGCTGGTCATGCCTCTTGTTGCTTGCAAATTGAATTGACAAACTCAAGGATGATAAAAAGAAAGTGACTTAATGCCAGAGCTTAGATGAAGGGAACATACAGGCTCTTGCCTTTAGAAAACTTCCACTTTTGGGGTGGAAAGCGGGAGATTTAAAAGGGGGACTTTGCAGAATGGCATGCAGGGGATGGCGTGAGGAGTTGCAGGGTCTATGGGACTTGCTCTGATATTTCATCCATTAGGTGGTCTGGCCAGCACGACCGGGGCAGAGCCAGGTTGTAAACTGACTGGTGTCTCCTGGTGGGGGAAGAGTTTGGAGATGCCTAGTTTATTGCAAGGTTTAGTCCCTGGAGCTTCTAAGTAAATGTACAGTAAGAAAAGTTTCCAGTGTAGGAAGTGTCTGGTGGAGACACAGTAAATCTTATAAAAGCATTCCTAAAGAGCTAAGTAGGAAGTGCAGAAAAAGCAAAACAGTAAAAGTAATTCATTTCTTCTTTAAGAAAATACAGGTACTCAGTTGCAAGACTGTAACTACTAAAGATGCCAATCACAAATAGCAGGTTCCCAGGTTACCTTCTGTGTGATTTGGCTACACATTGGAGGCTCCCACAACACCCTTATTGGATTCAGCATAACACATTACAGAACCCATGAAAACAGTGTGCTTACTATTGCTGACTTATTACTAAGGATATTTTAAAGGCTACAAATGAACAGGCAAATGAAGAGATGCACAAGGTGAGGGATGTGGAAGGGGTGCAGGCCTCCCCTGCCCTCTCCTGTGATCCTCCCAGCATCTCCCCATGGTCAGCAACAGAGACAATCTCCTAACCCTGTCCTTTATTATGTAGGCAGATTGGCTACATCAGTGGCCACAAGTGATCAATTCAACCATCAGCACCTCTCTCCTTAACAGAGTTGGGAGGGGAGATGAAATTTCAAATCCTCTAATGACAAGGCTGGTTTCCTTGGCAGCCAGGCCCACTGAGGCTGTCCAGGTCCCCCCAGTCATCAGTCATCTCATTAGCATATGAAGGACACGTCACTTCATACATTCCTAAGGCTTACCACTGCCTCGGGACAAAAGGCTTAGCTCTCTGTCTGTCTCAGGACACCACAGCAGAGACCACACATTAACACTTATTATGCCCCAATAACCCACAAAATGGAAGAAAAAATCTGCACATTAGATACTTCATAAGTGTCTGTTATCCAAAATATATAAATAACTTTAACAACTCAACAAAGACAGCCAAATGTAAAAATTGACAAAGCACTTTAATACAAAGTGCACCAACAAGCGCCTAAAAAGATGCATAATATCATTAGTCATAATTAAAACCATAAAGAGATACGCCTTAACTCACACTAGAATAGTTACACTAAAAAAAAGAGTT